GGTCTATGAACATTTGAAGAAGGGCCGACTAATATTGCAAAGTCCCCTAGAGCTTTGCAAAGCCAAAAGGTCTCAGACGTGCTGAGAAGTTTGTGGGGAGCTGGTGAGCGTTCAGACCCTATGTCATCTGGAGCTGGGGCTCTGCCTCCTTCATCCTGCTTCACCCCAAAGCCCCGCCACCCAACCTTGCCACTAGCTCACAGCAAAACTAGAAGGAGGAGGTACACAGGTCAGCCCTGCCCCGTGCCCTGGGTCTCTGATGGCCACGCCCTCCCTGAGGTCACTCTGCTGTGGCCTGTACCTGTGGAACAGGTGAGACTGGCTCTGGGCAGTCCTTGCAGTGTCCTTGCAGATGCTCACAGGAGGACTTCCTGTGACAAATATAGCACTGGAACAAAATAAACCTGTTCAAGCTGTCCGTGGCCCATGTGCTCTGCTGGGCATGGTCTCCTGCAGCAACCACGGCGAGCTGTGGATTTGGTTTCTCTGTTGTCAGTGCAAATCCACCTGGGCTTTTTTGCCAGCTGAGCCTACAGGCTCAGAAGCCTGCTGTTGGCTCCTGTGTCCCAAGCTGCCACTGGCCATCCTGGGCAGTGCCCCTTAGTTTTACAGCCCCCTTTTCCTGGGGTTGGGGGGGAGGAGCAGCAAGGAATAGTCCAGGCAGGTGTCAGATCTGCACAACCCAAGTTCCTCCCCTCCCTTTGAAGTTCTCGCAGGGCCTGATGCTGCAAAAGCCTGTTTGGACAGAGACCTTGCATTGTTGCGCGGCTTTGGCAAGGCCAGCAGCTGAGGAAGTGACTGACATTGATTGAAAGAGTAGAGTGTGGCTCACAATTCCCAGGAGGCAAGAGCACAGCACGGCACACAGGGCCCCAGTAGGGTCATGCCTGGATAGGGCAGGAGACAGAGACAGGTTGGGGAAATGTGGACAGGAGCTGTGACGGTGTTTCCATGGAGAACAGCCAGGAAGGCAGGGCAAGCAGGTGCAGGACTGGCAGGTACCAAGGGGCTGTCCTTTGGAACAGGCCCTAGGGTGAGGAGGGCAGAGAGAACATGTGAGCCCAGGAAGGGAGGTGGTGGGACACAGGCTGTGGATGGCAGATTGGCACATGGAAGGTGGGCGATTCTTTACCTCCCCTGGGAATTGGCCAGCACTGGAAGAGGGGTCTGTGAGACCTAGGTAGTTTCATGCGTCAGAATAGAGACATTGAGAAGACATGCTTAGAACAGCCCACATCTGGAACCAGCCTCGTTCCAGGCCTCCAGTCGGATGTGAGAACAAGTTTGTGGGCTCACTGCAGCAGCACTGAGGTCACAGAACACAGACACACATCTGTGATCTCACCTCTCTGACTGCAGCTGCCTTTCCACTCTGCAAACAGCTATCGTGGGTCTGTCAGGACCAGGACTGAAGCAGGAGGCAGCAGTGGACTGCCCATCGCACCTGCTACGCATCGCGCCTGCCACAATGTGGATGGAGAAGCACCCTGACAGCCTGGCAGCCCTGGCTCCCTCAAGCTGCTTTCACCAATGTTGTGTGCAGGTGCATTCTGGGGAGCCAGGAGTCCCATCTTGAGTGCTAATGGGGACAGCCTGTAGGTCGGTGTTGTGTCTAAACAGCTGCTGAGACCTTTGTTGGCCCAGAACAGCCACTCCTAGCACAAGATGTAATGTTGTTCTGTTGGAAAAAGGAAAAAAAAAAAAAAAAACAAGAAGAAAGAAAAGAAAAGAGAAAGAAAAACCCTCTGTGGATTTACTAAAATAGGCTCAGGATTAATGAGCAAAATGTGTCCTGGAGGCCCATTGGTCACACATGGTCTAATTTTGCCTACCGCTCTCACGGCTCTTACATTGCCATTCATTAGCTGGAGGCAAAAGTCATTACTTCTCCACGGACACAAATGGCCCAGCTGCCCGGCGCCGTGGCTTCCTGCAGACGTTTGCAGTCAGGACAGGATGGACTTCTTGAATTGTGTGTGTGCCGTGTGCTTGTATTCCTCCTACCTGTGTGTGTGTGTACTTTTCCATGTACTGTGAATGTGTGTGTGTGCATGGATGGCTGCAGGTGCCCCACTCACCACGCCCTGTCTTGTGCTGCTCCCTAGAGCCCCTGTGTGTTGATGGGTCCACCTTGCCTCCCGCAAACCTGTTCTGAAAAATCAAAATAAGAAGCCAGGGAGGGGGAGAAAAGACATGTTGTTGTTGTTTAACTTCACCAAGAAGCTTGTAAAATCATCCATTTTAGCAAGTCCTCCCATGGCATTAAAAAACAAATGTTGGGATTTAAGCAGTTTTTGAAAGATGTGTATATGGTAGAGAGCGAGGCAGACCTGCACGAGGTGTCACCAAGAGGGTCTCAGAGCCTGCATCCTTCACCTGGGCACACAGCAGCCACCTCCCACCCCGTGCCCACAGCTGCATCCGAGTAGCTGACAGGTCAAGCGTGTTGATCCCACTGAGCTGTGAAGCCAGCGTGCGGGGCGGCACTCCATTAGCTTGCTGACAACGGGGAGTTAATTCACCGTCAGAACAGTCTGTCCAAATTATTTTTGTACCCAGCAATTTACAGCAAATGGGCCTTTCTTTTTTCATTAGAAAAGTGATTACTGTTTTCCCTCTCTTTGGCATTTGCAGAGAGCCATTCACATTTCAAGCTAATGTTGGAGCAGCAGGCGTCCACTGAAAATATTTACCTTTTCTCGCTTGGCGACTTGTCAGTGTTGGGGAAAATAGATGTTCCATTAATGTCTAAATACACGACGCTTGCTTCCCCACACATCCGTCCGTCCTCTTCCAAGTTGAGAAGTATTGTGAGAGCTGTCAGGAAATCGTTTGATTTTATGTCCTTCCATATTTTTGGGTGTCTAGCTGCCTGTTCTGCTTGTTCCAGAATGAGCAGTTCAATGCTAGTGATTTGTATGGAAATGGCCAAGGAGCAGCAGGTGCAATTTCACCTTTAGGGCATCAGAATTGGTTTTGGTGGCCTGTCTGGCTGGTGGGGTGCTGTAGTTTGGGTAGGATTTGACTCCTGGACTCAGATGAACTTAAAGTCCATGCTAGTGGTGAGGGGGTGTTCGGGCCTTATCATGGCAGTGTTGGGTCACCAAGGGCATTGCTGAAGAGTTTTTACCCAGAGCCCAGAGTTGGGCCCAGCCTCACTCTGTACCCTGGCTGGTGTGGTGACCCTTTTGTGCTCATGCCCATCATTGCTCTCTGCGATGTGTGGGCATGTTGTGTGTAGGATTCTGCTCCGGACTGGGTCCTGCAGTTGACAACCAACTTCCTACACTGGCTGCACTCACTGTCCATGAGGCACATGGGCCCAGCATCCCTAGTGCTTGGACTCCTGCTGCTGCCAGAAGCAGCTCCTGGCTCCTGGCTTCCGCCTGGCTCAGCCCTGGTGGTTACGGTCGTTTGGGGAGGTGAACCAATGGATGGAAGATTGCTCATCCCTTATGTGACTCTTTCACATCACTCTGTTAGCAAATCTTTAAGATTAAAGAAAAAGATGTGCCGAGCTGAACCTGGGTAGGCTCTGTGTTTGGCTTGAAGAAATAGAAATGGAAAAGGAAGGAGCCTCGTGCTGGACACTTGGGTGCTAGCAAACCGGAGAGGCACTTGGCCCCGTCATGACCCCTGACCTGAAAAGGGGCATGGGTCCTCAGGGAGATACCTGAAGCATCGTGGGGAGCCAGGGCCAGGACTGGGAGGGGTCTCTGGTGGCCTGTAAGTTCCCTGTGCAGGCAAGACAGAGGAAGTGTCGTAGAAGAGTGCTTATCCTCAAAACAGCAGGTTGCAAACAGCATGGTATGAGTCATCCAGCATTCTGAGCATGCCCTCTGACAGGGTGCCAGGGAGGACACAGCGGGGAAGGGGAAGGAGGTCCCGGGGGTGACATCCTCACTCCTGTGTTGAGCAGAGGGCTCATGCTGTCTGCCATCTTCTCTTTTTTGTTAAAAAAAAAAAAAAAGATTTATTTTTATTTGAATGATAGAATTAAAGAGAGAGGAGAGAGGGATCTTCCATCCACTGGTTCACTCCCCACATGGCCATGAAGACCGGGGCCAGGCTAATCTGAAGCCAGGAGCCGGAGCTTCTTCCTGGTCTCCCACATGGGTGGGAGAGCCCCAAGCATTCTGAACATCCTCCCAGATGCATTAGCAGGGAGCTGGACTACAGGCAAAGCAGCCGGGACTCAAACTGGAGATGTGGACAGCTCAAGTTGGTGGCTTAGTTTGCTACACCACAACATCAACCCTGTGATTAAATGCATGGAGTGGTATAGTGGGTAAAGCTGCTGCCAGTGGCACCTACGCGAGTCCTGCCTGCTCCACTTACAATCTAGCTCTCTGCCAATGCACCTGGGAAAGCAGTTAAAGATGGCCCAAGTCCTTGGGCCCCTGCACCCAAGTGGGAGACTTGGAAGACTGGCTTTGGAATAGCCTACCCCTGGCCATTGTGGACATTTGGAAAGTGAACCAACAGATGAAAGATTCTCTCTCTCTCTCTTTATCTCTGTAATGCTGCCTTTCAAATAAATACGTAAGTCTTAATGTGGTGAGAGGACTAATTCACATGGAATGTTTGTCCCTGCTTCCCTCAAGAGGATCCCACATGCCAAGCTCTGCTTTCTGTGCTTCTTCCTTCTGAGTCCTGTCTCGTTGCTTAACCTCAGGGGAAGTTCACTGTTTGGGCTTTGAAGGCAGTTGTACTCAGGGTTCCTGTCTCCGAGAACCCACCACCTGCCAGAGGTGACCCCGTTTCCTTCCCTTCCGGAAGCTGCTGGATCATGTCCTTCCTCACCACCATACAGTGGCAGTGCTTTAGGGCGCACCTGAGGCACATTTCATTCCTTTAAGTCAGCCAGCCTAGGATGGGACAGCAAACCTTCCAGAACTTTCCCATGGATGGACAGTTCCTTCCAGTAGACCCTACCTGAGCCCTTACCTCCTGGGGTTCAGTCCCCAGCCCCTGACTGATGTGGAGCCCTCTGCTTGCAGGAATCCGTATGCTGGATGGTGACGTCACCGATGTGGTGGAGGCCAAATCACTGGGCATCCGACCCAACTACATTGACATCTACAGTGCCAGCTGGGGGCCGGATGATGATGGGAAGACCGTGGATGGGCCTGGTCGCCTGGCCAAGCAGGCTTTTGAGTATGGCATTAAAAAGGTATGAGTGACCCAGGGCCATGGGGGCCACTTCCTGGGGGAGGGATGGAGGCCACACCAGCCTTAGCCCTGAAACAGTGGACAGGGCTGAGGCCAGGGGGTGGGAAGCATCTCATGGGGCTCCAGGAATGGGCTTGAGATCCCTGCTGTGCTGTGGGAAGCAGCTGGGTGTCAGGCTTGGATCTGCCTAGGCAGGTGGCAGGAGCCCCTCTTGGATCCCCTGGCCTGGTGTTTGGGCTGTGCAGGTGGAGAAGGTGCCCCAGGATGTGGCTCAGCTGTCCAGGGAAGTATCCAGCATAGAGCTTTCTGCTGCACAGGCAGCTCCTTGGAACAGGCAGACACTGCTGTGGTCAGTGTCCCGGAGGCCCTGGCAGGGTCGAGGTCTCTGTAGAGAGGGCAGTTATCTCTGACCTCTGCCTGGGGGCATGGAGGGCACCATGTCCATTTTATTCTATGATTTTTTTAAAGAGTTATAGCGAGAGAAAGGAGAGACAGATTTTCCATCTTCAGGTTTACTCCCAGATGGCTGCAACAGCCAGGGCTGGGCCAGTCCAAAGCCAGGAGCTTCATCTCGGTCTCCCACCTGGGTACAGGAGCCCACATCTTCCACTGCTTCCCCAGGTCATTAACAGAGAGTGGGATAGCAAGGACTCCTAATACCAATACCCATAGTGGTTGCTGGCACCACAGGCAGCAGCTTAAGGTGCTATGTCACAATTCTAGCCCCTACTTATGTGATTCAAAACATTAAATTTTTGTTTGTTTGTCGTTTGGAGCCCACTGAAGCATTGTTAGAAAAATAATCACCAAGTAGTACCAGAGGTCTGTATTGCAATGACCTTTCTTGGCTGGCTTCTGACCTGGCCCCGAGGAGAAATTTTTTTCTTAAACTCTTACACATGATTTCCTTGTTGCAAGTACTGGGATGTAACTGCTTTCCTGGGCACGTTGTTTGATCACTTGTGGGAGTTCTTTTCTCCCTTAGCCCCGAGCTCCCCTTTTTCTATACATTTCCTGGGATCGGAGCTTGCTCTAGCCTCTGCCCCTTGCCAGTGCGCCTGAGCTGCACCTGCTCACACCTGCTCGCACCTGCTCGCACCTGCTCCTGTACCTGTGGCACTGATGTTTCCCTCACCCTGACTACTCAGGGCTTGAGTGACTAGGCATAGGGACTTCTGGAGCCAGCATTATGGTGGGGAGGATGCCAGCACCTGCAGTGCTGGTATCCCATATGCTCCCTGGTTCGTATCTCAGCTGCTCCACTTCCCGTCAGCTCCTTGCTAACAGCCTGGGAGGACAGCTCAAGGACTTGGATCCCTGACACTGGGTGAGAGACCCAGAAGAAGCTTGTGGTTCCTGGCTTTGACTTGCTTTGTCTTGACTATTGTGGCCACTTGGGAAATGAACCAGCAGATGGAAAATTTCTCTGTCTCTCCTTCCTGAAACTCTGACTTCCAAACAAATAAACAGATCTTTAAAAAAAAAAACAGAGAGAGAAGGTAGGGGCATCCATTCTTGTGTCCTCACTCAGGTACTCCACATGAGAAGAAATTCAGTGAAGGAAGAGGGGTGGTGTAGGCACACATGGCACATCCACACCACGTGGCCCAGGCTCCAGTGTGGACACTCAGCAGCTTCCTTTTAATTGTAGGGCCTGCGGGAAACACTAAGGTGGCTTCAGGCAGGTTGCTGAGCAGCTGGGCTGGGCTGGGCTGGGCTGGGGCCAGGGCAGGGAGCACACTGGCCTGCTAAAGCCATCCCAGCCCTGGCTGCAAGGACCCACCATGTAAACATCTCACGTCTTTGTGTTACTCCACTCCCGTCCCTGATCTCCCTGCAACCCCAGCCTACTGACAGGAGACATGCAACGTCCTACAGTTAATGATGAACTCAGGCTTCTGAGAGGGTGGCTTGAGCAAGAGGCCATGGTTTTGGGGTGCAACCCATTGCCTCAGTGGATGTTGTTGCTGGGGTATGTGGAGATGGAGCCTGGAGGAGACTTTGGCTAGTGGAGCTGCACGAAGCATTGCTCACACCTGCACTGACCTCTGCATTCAGACAAGGATGCTTGGAGACTGCAGGAGGGCCGTGTGGTCCCTCACCTTCTTGTCATGGTTTCTTGAAATATTGAGGTCATTTAATTTTTTTTTCTTTAGTCATTCTCAAGTAAAATATGTCATAGAGGGAACCTTAAATCATAGCTGTCTGAAGCTGTCACAGAAAATCCTCCTTGAAACTGAACAATCTCAAACCCAACTACATTCCCCATCCACCCCCTCTCTCAGCACCTGTGGTCTCCCCTGGCTGCCCTGTTTGTCACCTGTGATTGTTTGCAGTCAAATCTGCCTTTGTCTGTACTGGATGACATGGCCTGCTGCTGGGAGCCTGTGGCAGCTGCAGCTGGGCACAGAGACCCGGCCACATGGCGAGGCTTACAAGGCCCACTCATCTCAGGGCTTGTATGCAGGCTGAGCTCAGACCTCATGGCCCCTAGGAACGTTGGCCTTGTCCAGGTGGCCAGTGGGCACTTGGCAGCCCATCTGGGACAAAGTCACCCCAGGGAGGACCCCAGGCTGTGACTTGATCAGGCTGAAGTTGTGGCATTACAGAACAGAATGGCCCTGAGGATGCTGCTAGCCAGTGGTTTCTGGGTGAAGCCATCTGGAGATCTAGCGGAGGTGTGTTGTTCATACCCCAGATCTCCGAGTTTGCTGTCTCCCTTCAGCTCGCTCCCATGTTTCCTTTCTAGGAACCAGTTTAAGTGTGCCAAGAGACAGTTGGTACTTTGGGGAGGCACTGTCCAGGTAATGGTTGGTGTGAGATGGTGCCTTAGGCCCTGGGTATTCCAGGCAGGGTATAGAACCAGCCACGTTGGCATCACCGGGGAGCTCACCTACTAGGCAAGATCAGGATCTGCATTGAATGGGGCTCAAGTTTGGGGAGCGCCCTGTGGGCCATGGCCTTGGAGCAGTAAGGCTGCAAGCTCCCCTCTGCCATGCGATGGTGTTTTATGGATAATTTTGAATTGGTGTCTGGACTGATTGTCCTGTGGAATAAGGATAGGCTGTGGCAGGCAAATGCCTTTCAGTAGATGTTCGTTGCTCAAAAGTGGCTTTCAATTTGTGCTTTCCTCCAGGTCGTTAAATGCAGATATACCTTTCCCATAGTACTTTGTGCCGTTCTTTCAGAATATCAAGGTTTTTTTTTTTTTAAGATTTATTTATTTTTACTTGAAATAGTTACAGAAAGAAAGAGGGAGAGAGAGAACGTTTCCATCTGCTGGTTCACTCCCCAGATGGCTGCAGTGGAGGAAGCTGGACTGGTCCCAAGCCAGGAACCTCTTCCAGGTCTCCCATGTAGATGCAAGAGCCCAAGGACTTGAGCCATGCTCTGATGCTTTCTTAGGCTATTAGCAGGGAGCTGGAGCACAAGTGAAGTGTCTGCAGCTCAAACCAGTGTCCATATGGGATGCTGGGACTGCAGGCAGAGGATTAGTGTGCACTGTGCTGATCCTTAGGGATTATTATTAATATGATTGTGATTAAGAAGAGTGACAGAGAAAAAGAGAGAGATCTTCCATCTGCTGGTTTGCTCTCCAGATGACCGCAACAACTGGGGCTGGACCAGGCTGGAGCTAGAAGCCTGGAACTCTACCTGAGCCTTCTATTTGGGCGGGATGGGGGAGAGGGGCCCAAGCACTTGGACCATCTTTCACACTTTCCCAAGCTCATTAGCAGGAAGCTGGGTAGGAAGCAGAGCCGCTGGGACTCAAGTTGGCGTTCTCACGAGATGCTGGTATCACAAGCATCAGCTTAACCCAATGCACTGTGGCGCTGACCCCAGATGAACTGTCTTACTGCGCGTGAATAAATTTTCTGCGGTGCCCCTCCTTGGAGGCAGAGTGAAGGAAGCAGCTGAGCTCAGAGTCAGGAACCTTCCTGCATCTCTGCTGGGAGCCTCAGACTGGTGTGGGGGCTCACAGAGCAGGTGTCTCTGCTCTGTCACGTGGTGGTGACAGGAGAACCCAGCGTCTGGGGCTAAGTATGCCATGGCCAGGGGTTGTAGCGTTTCAAGTTGACGCAATTAGCATTACAAGGTGAAGGTCAGTGTTACCCTAACCATGACTGATGGCTGTGTGTTTGAACAGCAGAGGCGCGATCACAGCCCAGCAGATTTAGCTTCAGATGGGGGCACTGTTCTGGGGCTGGTTCTGCACCTGCTGCAGATTCAGCTGCTAGGACTGCACCCATGGTTCTAGAATCCTGCAAGCCAGCTCTTGGCACATGTCTGTGGGCAGGATGATGCCTGGTCTGGTCAGAGGTTACTGAGGAACCTTCCCTTATTTTCATGCATGTGTCTTAGAAACCTGCATCTGGATGAAGCCTACAACTAGGACAGGCATTGATGGTCTGACAGTGCCAACCCTCACCCATGGCTGAGAGCGCAGAGGGTTCTAAATGGGATGCCCATGCATTGCCCCCTGGCACTGGGGACCAGGACCCTTTGCCCTGCTCAGCCTCCAGCCCCTGTGTTCAGGATGGTTTCACTCTCCAAGAAGGGCTTCTCCTCGACTGGGGCATTGTATATATTTGTTCTCCCTGCAAGACCGGCTCTTGCAATCCAAAAAAGGTTAGCTTACCGACAGTGCTGTCACCTGTCGTCTCAGTGTCCCTGTGACACTAGTAGGTCTCCAACTCTCAGCCACCATGGAGGCGATTGTGGGCAAGAGAGCAGCTTCTGTTGGGCACCCGAGTTTTCCTGGGAGAACTTGTAGTCTTTCCTACCCCTCTTCCTGCGTGAACCTGTGCTTCTCCAGTTTTTCAGCTGATGTTGTAGACAGAAAGGCACCATTAAAACCAGAACAGAGCCTTGACGCCAAGCTCCTGAGGCCAGAATTGTGGTGTTCTGGTGAAGCCACCACGACCTATGTGCGTTGCTAGTTCAAGTCCCAACTGCTTGACCTGCAGTGCAACTTCCTGCTGATGGCCTGGGAGAACAGCACAAGATGGCCCAAGTGCTTGAGCACCTGCCACCTACTTGGGAGACCCAGATGGAGTTCCGGATGCCTTGCCCAGCTCAGGCCATTGCAGACATTCAGGGAGTGAACCAGCAGATAGAAGTTCTCTCTGGTTCTTTCTCTCTCTAAAACTCTGTCTTTCAAACAAATCAACAATCTTTAAAAAAAAAAAAAAAAAGGCAAGCTGCTGGTGGCTGGCACCTTGTTGTGCTCTGTGATAACTTGATGCTGGCCAGGTACAAAGAGCCACCCCACCCCCAGCCCTGCCCCAGCTCCCCTACCTGCCAGGCTTTAGCTGGTAGAGCTGACATCGGCTGCTTCCTCCCCTCCAGGGCCGGCAGGGCCTGGGCTCCATTTTCGTGTGGGCGTCTGGGAACGGTGGGCGAGAGGGCGACTACTGCTCCTGCGATGGCTATACCAACAGCATCTACACCATCTCCGTGAGCAGCACCACTGAGAACGGCTACAAGCCCTGGTACCTGGAGGAGTGCGCCTCCACGCTAGCCACCACCTACAGCAGCGGGGCCTTTTACGAGCGGAAAATCGTGAGTTCTCTTGCCTGGCGGGAGAGCATGGGACATGGGCTTCCCAGCAAAGATGAGTGAGGTCAAGGCCGGATTGTTCCAGATCCCGGGGCCTCCAGCTTAACCTCAGGGACCTGGCACTCATCCCCAGACCTTGCTGTTCAGCTTTGTTCCCAGGAACACCCTTGGCAACTGACTCCGGCTTGAGCGATCTAAAAATACACTTTAAGGATGGGGTTCATGCTCGCTGTCTCTCATTTTAGCTCTCTGGCATTCTATGGTCACATCCCTTGGAGTCCAGTTGACCAGTGTGGTTCCAATGTGTAAAATAGAGTCAAAGTCTTGACTTCCTTGTGGAACATTCTAGAAATGTTCTTCTAGGCATTGCCTCGTTCCCACAGGACCTGCACTGGGCACTCCACCTCAAGCAGAAGCTTCCGTCTGTGCCACCCACTTAGGTGACTGTAAGAATGATTCATCTTTTAAGCCGTAACTATTTAGCAAATGGGAGGCATCTCTGCTGCTTTTTTCCCTGCACACTTTCCTACTTAAAAAAAAGTTCCAGCCCAAATTAATGCAGAATTTAAATGCACAGTCACTAACCTGAGTTTTAGACTATTTTTTAAAAATATGAGACTTTGGAGCTGGCCAGACAAGATTTTATTTTATAGCTCACTACCATTTTTTCATTCCTCCTGCTGCTCAGCCACACCTTTAGAAATCATTTGCAGATTTACATTCTTCCAGCAGGAGCAGGCGGGCTTCCTGTTCTCTGCTTTGCTTTGCGCGTGTGAGAGGTCGGCCTGCAGCTTTCCCCCCTCTGGCCTGCCAACGGCCCAAGCTACTGCACCAAGGACTCACTTAAGCTGTGCTTTTCCTGCTCCATCCAAGCATACACGCTGGGATGGGCAGCCGGGATGCCAACAGGTGCCTGGTTCACTCGGGCGCCACGTCTCCCAGTCCTGGAGGCTGGGCTTGTGGCTGTGTGTGCTCAGGTTGTGCTGCCAGGGTGTGCATGCCTGTGGGTGCACATGCTGGAGCTTCAGAATGCCTTCACTCTCTTTTTTGTTGTGTGTTTTAAGTGACTTTGTTGGGAGGAGGGCTTAGAGAGCACCCTGCACAGTCGCAGTATGGGTTCCCTGATAGTGGGGATGGTGCTCCCCCTGCACCACAGAGCCTGCGTGTACGCTCAGCCCCTGAGGGTGCCTGTCACAGTTCCCAGGTCAGCATTCGCCTGGCCACCGAACAGGCCCCGTGGTCCAGGCTCAGTGCTAGGAACACGCACGAGGAAACTGTCGAGTTTGGTTCAGTCCTCTCTGCTCACTCCCCAGGACCCTGTTGCTGCACATGGGGTGCCAGCCATGGGCTCCCAGGGAGCCGCCATGGCTCAGTCACCCTCGTTTCCCTCGCTGGCTGCCATTGCCTAGCCCGAGTCTGTAGAGCACCTGCACTGCTGTGGTCTGCAGTGAAGCCCCATGGAGGGCGTGTCCTCGTGCTGTTGGCAGTGAAGGATGCTGGGAACAGAGAGCTCATGGCCTTGCACCTGCTTCCCTACCCTCAGAGGCTCCCAAGCTCGGCCAAGCAAGTACAAGCAAGGCAGGAGTGGGACACTGGCGTCCAGTCTTCTATGCCCAGATGGCGCAGGCTCAGCATCTCTCCTGGGTAACTCAGCCACTCGAGTCCTGAGAAAGAGCTATGTTTGGCAGTGGGTGTGGATGGTTATCCTGGAAGATTTTGATGCCTTGGGGTGGTGCCAGTTGGGTGGGTGCGAGTGTCGCCTTTCTGTTGCTGCGAGAACTAAAGATTGCAGGTATAGCAGGAGGTGCAGGCCTGCAGCTCCAGGCTCCAACAGCCTTGCTGGGTCTCCCAGGGCTGAAGCCAAGGTGCCAACAGGCTCAAGTTCCTCTCTGGAGGCCCTCAGCAGATGTGTTGGCTTCTTCCTTGGGTGTTGGCAGCATTCAGTTTCCCGTGGTCATAGGAGGGAGGTTCCTATTTCCTCATGGGCAATCAGCTGAGGACCATTCTTGGCTCTGGGGTCACCATGTGCCTTGGCTGTGTCCCCTGGCTCCCTCTTCATACCACGGATCACCCCAACAGGCTTTGCCGCCTTCCCTTGTACCTCTAAGAGTCCTGTGGTTACGCTGGGCCCACCTGTGATCCTGGATAATCTCCCAGGCTTATGGTCAGCTGATGAGCAACCTTAATGCCTTCCTCAGGCACGTGGGAATCACAGCAGGGCAGAGAGCCTAGGGCCACAGTATCATCTTGTTGAATCCCATGGGTGTTGCTCTCAGGCAGCTGCTCCCCACCTTGGCTCGGAAGGGAGGTATGCCCTGTGCTGTGCTGTAATGGGACCTGCATTGACACCCACCTTGGTCGGTGGCCGGGGGTGATGGTCAGAGGAGGGGGAGGAGTAGGTGGCCAGCAGGGCCAGCCTCCTCTTCCCAAAGAGAGCATCTGATTCCATTGTCCAGCTCAGAAGGCCCTGCGAGGTCAGAGCTGCTGCGGGTCTGCCTGCCCGTGCAGTAGACCCAGGTGCCTTGTTTGTGCTACCTCTCACAGACCTCAGGAGGACTGCCAGGTGGAACCAAATGGCATCCATGGCATCCATGACCAAATGGCAAAAACTCTCTGAGCTACCTGGGTACCTGTTTAAGAGCAGCCTCCAGCTAGGGTGGCTTGGGAGTGGGCTCTGACTGGTGGGCTTGCCACGGGGACTCTACCATGTCAGTGACAGGATGCCAGGTGCCCCAAGAAGAAGGGCAAGTGGAGGTTCCCTCTGTGGGGTCATGTCACCCTGCTCTGCCTGCCTGTCTGCCCAGCCTGCTACAGTAGTGACAGGGAGCTAGGTGCTACAAAAAGCTCCCAGGGGCATGGCTCATAGCTGCCAGCCCTCCTCCTGCCTGGTTGGCCTGAGGTGAATTCCCCTCTTGCATGTACAGAAATCTGCCCCTGGGGCCCAGAGTCCCACCCCCTAGTAGCAGCTGCGGAAACTTGACTTCTGCTAGGAGTGACTTGATCTCTGCATCCCTCTCGTCCAGGTCACCACGGACCTGCGCCAGCGCTGCACGGATGGCCATACGGGGACCTCAGTCTCAGCCCCCATGGTAGCTGGCATCATCGCTCTGGCTCTGGAGGCCAAGTACGTCCCTTCCTCCTTTCTCTGTCCGGGGTTGAGCGCATGGCTGAACAGCGGCATCATGGCCGTGTGCAGATCTGTGGCGTTGGGTACCGACTATGGCTGCTACTGCCATCCACCTCCAGACCTGCTTCCACTTCCCACACGCAAGTCTTATCCCGGGAAGCCCAGGTCGCACCCTGCTCAGGCTGTGATGGCCTGGCACTGCACATGGGTGTCTGTGCCCCAGGCCTGTTAGAGGCTGGACGCCCTTGGGCGGGGTCTCAGCAGGTGGTAGCTGCCTTCTCTCTGGTTCCTCCCAGAGGTGGCTGTGTCCGGATTCCCTGGGCAGGTGGTCTGTGGCCATCTTGGATGAATGCCACTCCAGACGTTATTTTGCCTTAATTACCTTGTAGAAGGCACCATTGCCAAATACAGTCATGTTCAGAGCCTCTGAGCTTAGGACATTAACAAGCAAATCTTGGGAAAGGACACATTTCAGGTCCCCACGCTCTTCCCGTGCCTTGTCCCAGGCCACCCATCTGTGAATTTGCCTGTTCTTGTAATTGGACTCGAAATGTACAGGCCGAACATCCCTGATCCAAGAACCTGAAATCTCTTCTAGCTCGGGATGTCATTGCTGGAAGCTTCTTCACCAAGAGTTGGAGCTCTAGATCTGTGCCAGGGAATGTGATTGCTAACCCCGGGGCCAGCTCTGGGCACACTCCCTCAGCTGCCATGTGTGCCCATTGTCCCTGGCCTGGGCGGACCTCAGTGGCTGTTCATGTGTCCTTGCAGCAGCCAGTTAACCTGGAGGGATGTCCAGCACCTGCTCGTCAAGACCTCCCGGCCGGCCCACCTGAAAGCAAGTGACTGGAAGGTCAATGGCGCCGGACACAAAGGTGCGACTGCTGTGTGTAGGGGCTGGGCTTGTATGGCATTGGATCCGGGGACCCACGGGGTGAAGTGAATTCCCTTGAATCCCTTAATAGCATCTCCAAAGAGCATGAGTCGTAAGAATGAGCAGCACAGACTTGGTGATTTATGGAAAGCACCAGAAGGCTCACACTGGTCTCAGGGAGAACCCTAAATCCATCGAGGCTCAGGGTCCCTAAGATTCGCCACTGCTGCCACACGCAGCAGCACTTCAGTTGACTCTTGCAGATGTGGCTTTCTTGTAACGTGAAGGAACCCTGCCACGTGGTTAATCCTGGACGTGAGTTGTAGTTATGCCCATTCAGACAAGTTTTGTCTGTGATTATCAAGATGCATGATGTTGTCTGCATGGCACCTGAGGGCCTCTTGCATTCTTAGCCCTGAGCGACTCTGATTTTTAAACTTCCTCTTCTTTCAGCCTTGAGATAGTTGTGTAAGTTACTTTTTGTGTAAAACTTTTGGTGGCCAGCCCCTGAGTTAGGCAGATAATTCACAGGGCAAGAGGGCCTCCCTCACCCATCCAGTCTGGCACGCACAGGCATGAGTCCCTGGGCAGGACTGGGCTGCTGGCTTTGCTGAGATCAAACAGCAAGATTTCTTCTCTGACATTTGGCCTGAAGGCTGTGAACCCAAGCCTGATACGGCAGTGTATCTGGTGCAGGTCAAGCTTTGCTTTGACCCTTGGTGGCCAAGGGACATTCCTTTCAACAAGGAGGCCATTACAGGCACCTGGTTCGTCTCCAATTCACAGGAATGTTGGTGTGGGTGCTGAGCTGTAACCAGAGCCGCCCTCCATTGCAATGTTGGCCTAATTAAATAGGAAAATAGATTGTATCTAGTTCCCGACCTTGCCTCATTCATTCAGCTTAGAAACCCTTCTGTACCCCCAGCCAAATTTAACACCCTTCTGCCTCACTGTGCTGCGTGGCATTGCCACTGATCCCAGTGCCCTGAAAACTGAGTTGGGAGAGGAAATAGCCAAAAACCCCAGCCTTGCTCTGTAGCACTCGGTGCAGCGCAGTAGAGCACAGGGTGCGTGTCTCCTGCCTGGTCATGGGCTCAGCGGGTACAGGGGCTGGCGGGTCCTTCAAAGCAAGAGAGATCTGTTCCAGTCTGTGCGAAAGGGAGCCCTAGGCCTTCCCACACTCCCACACTGCATCCCAACGGGACATGCCCGAAAAAGTTCAGGACCTGGTTGATCAGGTGCCCACCCCCGTGGGGCCCAGCAGAGGTGTAAGGTTGAGGCGGTGGCAGGATGGGAGGAGGGGGCAGGGGTGGCTGAGAGCCTGGCGCTGATGGCCCTGTCTTTTCAGTTAGCCATCTGTATGGATTTGGCTTGGTGGATGCCGAAGCTTTGGTCCTGGAGGCCAAGAAGTGGACGGCAGTGCCCTCCCAGCACATGTGTGTGGCCACCGTGGACAAGAGGCCCAGGTGAGGCTCTCCCCTCCCACCCCAGTGACTGCCCACGCACATAGGACCCGAGCCTGCTGCCCGGGGTGGTCATGGCGGTACAGGGCTGTGTATGTGTGTGTGTGTCTAAATCATTTCTTGTGGGCTGTGCAGCTGGGACCTGCTGCTCTACGCATTGCAATCATTTTGAAGTACAGGTGGCTTCGCAGTAGGGAACCCATCCCAACCCAAATCCCTTGGGCTGTGTTGGAATATCCTGTCTGTAATATTAACCGTAACTAACCAGACCATGGGTCTGTCCTGCCCAGCAGGATATACCAAGGGGCATTCCATGGGGTCCTTTCTGTGCCCACCCAGCCTGCTCTGAGGACTCACAGTGTGCTTAGCCAAGAGCAGCAGCACCTACTCCTATTCCATGGCAGGGAAGGGGTTCATTTCCTAGCTCTGCGCTTGTTTCTGCCTGCTTGCAATCTCCAGGGTGTACGTGCTGGGGTTGTTCTGTTCAACTGAGACAAGCAGGGGGCACAAGACCCTGCCTGCCCCTCTCCTGTGGTCAGGACACTCCCCACTACTCTGCTGCCACAGCTGTCCCCCAGATAAAGAGTGGGGTCCTCTGGGTCTTGACATCCGACTGGAGAGACTCCATTTCAAGGTGCAGCTGTTTGTGACCCCCAGGTCAAGAAAAACAGAACAGGAAATGGTGCGAAGCCCTGTGTTGCTTTACCCATACATGTATACGGTGTTATACGAGACAACCTCTTAGCCGATGGGCACTTGTGCCACATGACGTCCAGCAAGTGTGTCTCACACATGACAGGAGTTCGGGAAGTCTTACTTGGCTGAAGAGCTGCAGAACCAGCCCCCAGGAGGGCCTTTCCAACAATCACCGTGGTTTGGTTTGGTTCTTGCTCATTGTCTACACTGACCTTTGGAGCCAGGGTCAACCCTGACTTCTGCTAGCATTGTTTTCCTTAGGGAACTAGAGACTATCAGATCTGGGGTGGGACAGGGGGAAGCTCGGAGATAAAGGAGGCCTTTTGCCTTAGTTGGCTCTTCTTGTTGGAGAAAGCGCCGGTAACACAGATAACCAGTTGCCAGGTAAGGCAATGCCGGCTCCAGGGTCTGCTTTCTGCCTCGGTGGGGCTGCCCCGGTCCCTCCCACCAGACTGCCCGGCAGGGTGGCTCCTGAATGAAGCATTCTTCTCTTGCCAGAAGGCGTTTTAAGATGGCTGGGTGGTGCCTAGGTGGCGAGTGGCTTGTTTTTATTTTGATTTTATTTTGCTTTTTAAGTGGCAGCAGCACAGGCTCTCAACAGTGCAGGTTGAGGGTAGCATACACTGTGACATTGTTCCTGTCCTTTGAGGAAATCAAAACTCCACAGACTCCCAGGGATGGCAAGAATCGGGCTCCTGTTTCTAAAGAAAAATCATCTTTCCCCTTGCCAGGCTCCTTTCTGGAATGTTCTGTCTCGAGCCGCTTGCCTAACTCCACAAGGTGATTGTTCTCGAGGATAGAGGGCCTCTGGAGAGAGGAGTGTGGCAGTGGGGAGGGTGCCACTAGCCCTCTCCCAAACTCCCAGGAGCTGCAACCCCTGCCTACCTACGCAGGTCATCTGAGGGTCCCCGAGGCTGTAGCCAGTCACCCTCATCACAGTTGTCACCTGGGCTTTGTCCCAGCTGCTGGAGTCACATGACTTGAAAATGAAAGGTCAACTTGTCTGGCCGTCTGCCATGTACATCGCTCCATCCAACTGTCTGCTCTTGTGACCTCTCTTTGGAGGGTCCCAGATGTGGCCACTGTTGCTTGCCCTTGAGGGGAGCAGAGATGCAGCGAGAGGAAGCCCAGGGCTAGGGGGATGTGCTTTCTGTTCTCATTGCTCAGGCAGCTGTGTGCACACTGCATGGGTTATGTTACCTACCTCTCCCTTATCGTTGGAGAGGGCCCAAGTCAGAGAGCTGAGCCTGGTGGATGTTTAGTCCAAGTGTCCTGGAGGGCTCAGAGGCCAGCCTCACTGTGGGCAGCCCACACTGCTGTGTACCTGCCTCATTAACAGGACCCGGGCTCTGTCCACCCCTCTGGTCATATGCAAAGTCAGCAGCAGGAACCCCTCTCCCCCAGCTCCAGCCCTGAGCTGCATGATGTATCTGGTTCCTAGGATGTGGTCGTGGTTTCAGAAGACAGGTCTTGGCAGACAATGACAGCAGGAGCTGTGGGGCCGCCCTTGCTGTACACCCTTCTTGGGCCCCAGCCTGCTCACAGCAGCTGGTGGTGGCAGCCACTGGGGCTCTACAGGACTATACCATGAAGGCCAGCCAGAGGAGAGGGACCTCATGTGACCTTGGGCATGTCCAGCCTGTTTGCTGCCCATGTAGTGGGGGGCAGGGTTTGGCAATGCACCTGCCCCTGCCGGGATCTCCTTGAAAGATGAGAATGAAGAAGGGTGGGGTGGGGGGGACTGCCAGGGTAGGGATGGATGAAGCTGTGTTAATGAGAGAAAAAAGATGCCTTAGGAGCCTGAGCCTCAGGTGCCCAGGTCTCCACTACAACGTCTAGGCCCACAGGGAAGCTCAAAGACCTGCCAGCCCCCACTGTCAGACATGAGGGCTCTGGTGGATTCAGAACTTTCATGTGATCGAAGGAAGGCTGACGGGATGGTGAACAGGGACAGCTGCCCGTGCTAGGCCATGTGAACATCTGTGTGTGCTACACAGAGAAGGATGGGACAGATCCTGGCAAGGAAAAAGTCAAGTGTGGCCCAATACGTGTGATGGGACATAAGGCCCTGCTTGCTAAGCATCTTGCTAGCACCTTTGGGCTTCTCCTGCTGGCACCTCCCTTGCTTCTTTGAAACCCAGGCTGCTGTGAGACGTCCTGTGAGAACTTGCCCGTAACACCTGGTCAGGTGCACAGAAGACAAGAAACGGTCTTCTTCACCAGCATAGAGCAGGTGCCACCACACATGTGATGTCTTACCAAGTGTGGAAGGTTCTGGGTCTGATGAGTGATGGCTTACTGTGGCCTGTGTTTTATTTAACCCCTCCCCTCCCCAGTCCCAAACACACACACACACACACACACACACCCACCCACCCACCCACCCACCCACCCACCCACCCACCCACCATGCTAGCCCATGCTGCTGTGAATGTTCCAGATCATTTACAGGTGCCTGAGAATTAACCCCCTATGAACCACACACCACTGATCTTCCTGGAACTTGAATGGAGCAGACTGTGTGTGACGGGTGTTGGTAAATAGCTCCATGTGTCCTGTGGCTGAGTGGACAGAGGCATTCACCAAGCAGTAGCGAGACCCTGAGCATCGTGTATGAAGGAGCACACAAGGGCATGAGGTTCTGTCCTTGTCCCCAGTGTACAGATGAACAAACTGAAGCAAACAGATCCGGACTGCTGCCTCTAGTGTCCACCTTGAGGTGGGGCCCAGGCGGTGCTGAGCCAAGGAGAGGAACTGCACCCCAACTTCCCCTTGCATTCTTTCCCTCTGTTTCTCCTCCACCTGGGCAAGCTGCCTCTAGAATGGGAATGCACCTGGACCCTAGCTACCTGGAGGGTCCGCCAGACTCGGCCGGGCATCTATTCCCGGGGGTGGCTCCTGGTGGTCTGTTTGCAGCAGCTGAGCCAGGCCAGCAGCCACAGCTGCTCCTTTAAACCTCTCATGACATTTTCTTAAAAATGATCCATGAATCCCGGCCTTGCCTTAGGCATGCATTTAAAGATATTTGATCTGTGATGAATCAGGTTGGGTCCAAGTCAGCTGGCCGCCTGCTGAGCACAGGTGCACAGCCTGGTTTGTTATCTAGTTACGGAGCTAAAGCCGCTCTTCTCTTTGGGCTCTGTCTGGCACAGAACCTTTCCCCCCAATTCTCACAGCGCTTTTCCACCCTTCCCAGGGCCTCCCTCCAGAACATCTGTACATCCCTGGATACCCCAGAGACTGCTGCGTGCTCTCCCCCATCCAGCTGATGCTAGGTGGAGCATGTCTGGGCAAACCTGGAACACCTGCCCTGTGCCCTCATGTTCCCTCTGCCTCTTGGTGTCCCCCTCATAAACACTGGTGACCCTTCCAAGCTGAGTCTTGAAGCAAACCAGTTTTTCTTCCCCCTCTGAAACTTGCAAAGGCTGTTTACTGCTAAAATTAATGCTTGAATTTGAGTCAACTCATAGTGCTACTCATAGTAGCTATAAGGTCATGTCAAACACTGGAGTGGTGGATGTGCTCCCTGTGTTAGGGGTGCCGGCCGTTGTGACACACTTATCCCTGTGTTAGGGGTGCCGGCCGTTGTGACACACTTATACCAGAGGGCAATTAGCAAGTGTGAGACCCAGGATGCTGGTTGGAGCCAAGTCGTGCAAGAAGCAGGAGGCTTACCGTAGGGCTCAAAGCTGCAGGCTGAGCTGTCCATTGTCAAGCCTGCATCAGATGAAGTGGGTGAAACAGAGGGCACCCATGCAGGAAGATGATTGGGTGCCAACCAAGTCTTGTCTGCTTGGATCCTTCTGGATCCTTTTAGGCTGTCCTTCCCTGGCATGTCATAGGACCGCTTGTGGAATGAGGGTCTTAGGACCAATCAGACAAGGCAGGGCAGAGAATGTCTAAGTGGCCAGCTCTGAGACAGAATGGCAGAGCCGATTAATGTTTGTAGTAGATCTTACAGCCTGCTTTGGGAAGAGAGACTCCAGTTCTGTGCTGGTCCTGGGGGCAAGAGAGAGGTACAGGAAGCTTGGGTACAGGGAAAGTATAGAGAGGGACTCTGATTCTGCGGTGGTCTTTACTTTGGGGGTGTCAGTTCCTGAGCCCCAGCAAGGGGAACCAGCAAGGAAGCCTCCTGTAAACTTCTGCTCACCGCATTCTCTTGAACTGATGGATTCAGATTTGTGTTTTATCAACTTGTGTGTGTGTGTGTAAGAGAGAGAGAGAGAGAGAGAGGGAGGGAGGGAAGGAGAGAGACGGGTAAAACGGGGAGAGTGTTTAAGATTTATTTATTTTTATTGTAAAGGCAG